TTTTTTTAAATATAGGCCTATGGCGCATCCTGTACATGCACTTCAACTTTTACAACTAAAGCCTAGGCCTAGTAGGCTTACCTGTAGTACGTTCTACTGTACTTAGAGGCCTAGGCCTACACTAGTTTGTTGTCGTCGGGGTATAATTCTGTATCTAAATGAACGAGGAGCGAACCTAGCTAGTAAACATCTAGGCTAGGCTAATTGATTTTAAAATCAATAACCCACCAGGACTATCTCGTTTTCTTCTTTGCAACAGCGGACGAAAATAAGTCAGTTATTCTACAACGTTTGATTATCACTAAAAATTAACAAACACTCGTTTTGACGCACTCCGTTCTGTTGTGTGTCTGCTGTTGAAAACAAACTTCCTAGCCTAATTTTGTGACTATGATGACTGAGATGGACTATGTTGATTTATTAATAATATTTTGTTTGGGATGAAAAAAGGAGAGTCCATTTCCCCAAAATGCTCCATCAGCACATAGTTTAGTGTGCGCTATGGACAGTATGGCTATGGAATTTACTAACCACACAATCCACAAGTATGTGATCGAAAACCAGTAAGTGTCCAGTAATTTTCGTAACGTCGTAACATTCTGCATTCGTAAACTTTCGTATTTTCTTGGAAATATTCGCAAGAAATTATAATGTCGGAGCGTTGATTGGTAGTCGGCTCGTGATTAAAGGTGACGACTGGTACCGAGATTCACAGTTACTTACCTCGGCAAACCATTCGATGGCATAGTATCTACTTTCAGTAGCCACAAAATTAGTGGACTAGTCAAATAACACTGGGAGTTACAGTGATGACGTCACGATTGACTTGACTTGATAAATTATTTTAGTTTTATTATTCTAATGAGAGACCACAGCTATTAAAGGCCATGGAGGGAGACCTGTATCATGTACATGTAGCCTGTATATGTTTGTATATATATTTGATCTTTGTATATAGTATATATAATTATATATATATACTGTATATATATATATATATATATATATATATATATATATATATATTACATAGCCTATGTAAATACGAGTACGTTATTGGTCGAAATGGCATCACGTGACTAGCGTTAAGAGGATCGGTATTTCCCCCTACGGAAATATAACTTTGAAAAGTGATCGCTCTCTGACGTCCCCGAATTACACTCGCATTGCGCCCGTAGTGAATGCTACTATTTTATATGGCCTTGGACTGAATTATTGACGAAAAGGATTCTCGGTGTTCAAAATTTGTTGTGAATTCATCCGTTAATCTACTCAGTGACTATTGTGGGCCAAGGAACCATCAATTATGAAAATTTCACAGCACCGGAGCTTAACGCGTTTCTCCGGTCATTCTACGCTGAGGTAAGGAGAGCAAACGGTGAACTGTACGCTAAACGAAGCATCTATTTTTGGCTATGAAATTTAACAGATATTGCCTTTCCTATCCTGTTATATTACACCTTTAAGCAGTCAATATCTGTATAATAAATAAATATTATATATATAGGCCTATATATATACTGTCTCTTAT